CGCCCAAACTTTTATCCCCCTCACAGCATATAATCGCTTCCCGGATTTCTTATCTTGGGCATATACTTAGGCACGAGACTTCTATCGAACACCTACCCACCTACCAAACCGCACACGCCTACAGACGCCTCCACAAGAAAAGACCTGGCCACCCTCGAATACACTGGGCTGAACTGAGTATGACGCAGGCGTATCAACGCCACCAGATTTTAACCTCGAATACCCCTATTCCCCGCCCCCACCAAATACACCATGACATCTATCATCACCCCACCGAAAGAGAGGTGGCTGCTGCTCATTCCAGATATTTTGGTAACACAGACTTTTGGAGGACCCTACAGCCGTTAGCTCAGAACCGTAGATCCTGGGCCCAGTTAGAAGTTTTACGTTAATCAGCTGAAAGGGCTGCTGACGAGTGGTCTCACTTGTGGACTTGCTCTGCGCGACTGAGAGAAAGAGAGGTCTTGTAGTCTCCATTGCTTATCTCAGAATTATTTGGCTGCTTGGGGGCATGCTACCCACAGTTTCCGGTTGTGCAATGCAGGCTCCAAAGAGTTTCGCAGATTTGACTGCCGAAGCACTGAAAAGAAACATCTAATCGTGTCAGACGGCGAGTTGGCAGGCTGCAGAGTTTTGAAATGCACATGCATGCCCGAGACCAGTGGCAGACTACCACAATAAACACAGGATGTTGCACCTGGGCTTCGTTCTTTCCAGTAGTGAACATGTGCCCTCAAAGATTTCTGTCACAACCGCAACCGCTTTTTTCTGTTCTTGCTGGCCGGTCTCCCCCCAGCCAGCTTGGACTTCAGTTTGTCTTTCGTCTTGTAGCCCAGTCTCGATCTGTGAGAGGTGTCCCCCCCTCGACTGCCCGGCATGATCTCAAAGCCCAAATAGAAGGCTGCCTTCAAAGTCAGGTGTTGCGCCACAGCCCGGACTTGCTGATCGTAGTTTCAGGCTAAGAGCAGCCTCGCTTCTGCATGGAGCAACATGATTCGTTGATGTGAGAGTTCCAGGCATCCACTTTGGCATGCGCCTGTCGGAGGTCCCAACGCGACCTATCCATGACGAGGAGCCGCATGGAGCAGCATGCATCCGGTGTCGTCAGCTTCGCAGCTTCGCAGGTCCCAGCCTTGTGGAACCGTACTGTGCCAGCCCAGAAAGGATTGACTCATACAGAGCATCACGCCCGTTTGCCTCAGCATGCAGCTCAGACGAAGGTGTACACCACGCACTTTTACTATGGCTGGTCCTTCGACTTGATGGCTTACGATCCCGGTCTTAAAGAAGCCATGTCAGTCTTCCTCGACTGGAGTTTGTGCTCTTTTGTGACTGTGCCTACCCCAGGACATGCTGGGAAGGAATATTCCGACGCTGTCCTGAACTTGGTCGTCTGCGTCTTGGTACCTCAATTGCGTCGCATCCGCTGTCCTGAGGATGCTATTTGCCTGCTGGCTGTGGTTTTTGCTGTTGGCAGATGCCCAAACGTCCGCAACTCGCACGCAGGCCGATTGTACCAGTGACAACAATCATGGCAGTTGTGGCTCGGCACAGGTGGCCACAAAGGGTGCAGTTCAGGTGCAAGCAGAGGTCATCTCGTGTGAGATGCAAATCCGATTTGTCCTTGGCAGGGCGAGCATTGGGAGCTTTCTGCTGCGGCTGGAGTGCTGGGGTTGCAGGCAGGCAAGGCAGTACGTCGCCGCGAGTCTCGGAACTGCCAGACTTGTCCGAGGCAGTCCTTTTCTCGATCGGAGAGCACCTGGGCCAGACTTGCGGCCACGTCCACATTGCGCCATGGCGACATCCGCTGTTGTGTTGTGTCTCGAAGCCAACTGGGCCTCAACTGAATGGAGAATGGTCAGTTCAACCGTACAAGGCACAAATGACATGTCGAGATGTTCTGTGAACAGGTGTGCTTGAGCTGCAGTCTCTTGTCGCAGAATGCCAAGCAAGGTATCTCCGCCTGCGTTTGTGGTTGCAACCAGCGTGGGGTTCCACATCGGCTATGTCTTATGGCTAAGGCACAAGGCTGCGAAATCAAAAATCATTCCGCGCGTCTCTGTCGGGTGCAAGGATTCTACTGGCCTACACTTTGGTCCTCTTCACAGGATTGGGCAATGAGCAAGAGGACCAGCAGGCAGTGTCTCCTTGCTCCGTGTCTTTTCATAAAGCACAACTGAGTCAACTGTGTCGGTGTGCCTTGAGGTGGTGGAGCAGGGGGAGATCACGGGGCTGCTCGACGGGGAGAGGCGCTTAGCTCCGCAGAAATGTTTTTTCGCTGTCGATCGTAGAGGGTCTTCTCAGTCTTCTCAGTTCGTAAGGCCATCGAGCCGACTGATCTCAAGATCAGGCACGATCCAGCAAGGTTTCAGCGCTTCACAGATCCGGGGTCTCGACATCTGCACTTCGAAGCATGCGTTGTGGTCATCGAGAGTCGTCAGACATTCTTACAGCAGGTTCATAGCCTTGATGTTCACCGTTGGCAAGTGCTTGGCCTCGAAACACCTGGTGAAGCCATTGCGCGACAGGCGTGTAATCATCTCACCTCTGTCCTGCGATCTGTGTTGCACTGCGACATGAGCGGCCCAATGCAGGAAGATTCTCTCTGCCACAGCCGCTGCTGCCCTGCTTGCCGCGGTCTTCGTCGTTGGGGGCAAATGTGGCTCGTATTCGAGTTTTCAAGGTCGGCACAAAACATGTGCTGCTGCAAGCTCTGCAAACCTGCAATCTCTGTCAGGAGCCTTAGATGCTTGCCTAGGCCGGGACATAGGGCAAACCTTGTCGGGACTGCGACTCTGGCACGCTTGGGTCTCTTGGCAGGTCCCTTGCTTAGTGGAGATGGTGTCATGCCGGCACCTGAAGGGACCTCAGTGACGATGACCGGAGCACCAGCGTGCCAGCATGGGCCAGCGTGCTGTTGCACATCGAGCTTCAGGTCTGGCTCAGCGAGTCTGCTTCTCAGCTCCTCCTGGGTTTTTGCTCAAAGAGGTGCAGCATGTCAACACCGCCTCACCCATGCAAACGCTGGTGCAAGAAATCAACTTCTCTTGCGGCAAGATATAGCAAGATTCCAGCAACGGCCTTGCTGTCTGGAGCTTTCTTGTTGTGAAGGGCACCTTTGCGTGCATAGGAACACATTCCAGCATTCAACCGCCGAAGCATTCGCCTCGCACGCTTATACCCGCACTCTCGGCCCGATTCTTTAATCGATTCGTGAGACCATTCGACCAGAAGCAATAATCCGCATAGTACAGACCACCATGTAAACGCCCTTCGGACAACACATCGAACCAACAACAACGGAAGACACGTATTGCACGGCCTGAATTATACCCATATTAATAGCAACCGCGACGCTGTACTGCGCATGAAAGCCACCCAGTAGATGCTTTGTGGTCAACACACCCAACCAACAACAGCAAAAAGCAGGAAAAAAACAAGCTTGACGCTAACGATGTGTTAGTCAGAGCCACCAGGAAAGGTGCAGTGCCCTCTTGTGGTCGAAACGCGAACCGCGCTCGGCCGCGCGCACCGCCCAGTGCCGGAGCCGGGCTGTGCACTTCTGCGCCCCGCCTTGATTGAGGCGAACGCCCGGGGGGCGGCCGCCGGTCGTGGGGCTGTCTAGAGTGGCGGGGTGTGTTGTCGCGACGAGCACATGTCCTTGACTCTTGGCACGCAAATCGTCGAGATCTTCGCCCGATTACGGTTCGATTCGAGTCTCGAAGAACGTAAGGAAAGCGAGTCCTGTGAGGAAGCAGCCTTGGTTTTGGTTTGCTGAGACTTCTTTAGAAGTCCGCCAAGCTTTTTTTTAAAGAATTGATAAGTCTTAGCGAAATGTGCACGGATGCTGGGCGGGTGACGTATTTCTCCCGTGAGGCTTCTGACTTCCAATGCGGTTACAAGTCTCATCGATTTTAATGATTTTGTCGTTGTCGCTACTGCCATGGTACTGCTGTTGCTGCTACTGTTGTTGTTTCTGCTGCTGGCCCGCTTCTCCGCTTTTCCACTACTGTTGCCAGTGGCACCGTTGACACTGCCCCCGGCCGCAGCTTGCTCGAATTCGAAACCTTGAAGCTCCAACCTCGAGCTCAAAGCTTTGACATTTTATCTTCTTGTAGCCCTCAGCGCCCCCGTGTCTGGATGATGGGCTTTTGTCTTCGGAGCTTTGTCTTCGGATGACTCGCCGGGGCTTCTGAGACTCCCCGAGACCTTGTCCTCCCTTCCCTTCCACTGCCGCTCCCAGTTTTGCTGTTTTGCCGCCGCCAATCCTGCTGTTACTGCGACCGTTGCCGATGCCGCGACAACCAACGCTGCTGGTATTGCTAGTCAGCTAGTCGTCACCGGCAGTGCCCCCCACTATCCCAAGCAGAACCTCGACCATGTAAACACCTTGCTGAGGTTTGGAACTGACGTCAGCGACAACTATTGGATCTACATCATCCGATACATGCGGGAGCGACTGCGGTCTACGAAGTTATATACACATAAGTAATAGGCAAATTCGTACATGTATAAATACATAAATGTGAACGTGTATCTGTCTCTCCTCTCTCTCTCTCTATATATATAATAGAGGTCCTTTTGCTTTTTCGGTCGCCGCCTTTGTTAGCACTTGCCGAGCCGGGAGAAACAAGCAGCCATGGTTTTGCCACGAGGAGCAACAGCTGGACTTCGCTTACTGGAGCATCAACGGAGACAAACGCGCCAACGAAAGCGAGACATACGGACTGCTTCAGGCGGGGAAGTTCCATTCGTTCCAAAAGAGGGGAATGTGAAGCTGACGGTTCACTGCTGACTTATGGCTTTGCACACCTGGTGAAATCAGGACGACAACTCGGCAGTGAGACATCCGTGGAAGCTGCAAGATCTGCAAAGCCTGTTTCTCGTATGACTTCCGATGAATGCAAGAAATGGTGCGGTTGTGGCTTTGCTAATGAAGCCAGGTGCATAGAAGGTTTTGAGAGATCTCTGCTTGCAGAGGTTTGTTTGTCCTCTGCCAGGATTCCTTTGATTTCCTTAGCAACGGCAAAATTACGAGGATCCGTGGTGCACTGTGGCAACTGTAGCAACATCGGTGGAATCAGTCTGAGCTGATCAGGACTTGGTGGCCGCGCATTCCGTGTACTTCGCAGAAGTACTAGAACGACGGAGGACACGCCATCTGCATCGGGGGTGAACCACCGGCATTTACGCGTAGCATGCTGTAAGACGAGGACGTGCGCGGTGAGGTTACAGGTGTGGTCGTGCCGGGCACCCAAGAATGCCGCACAGATCACAGCACAGCACCACGACAATGCCGAGATCTACCGAGGCCTGTACTGGCTGGCCTGACAGGCTGGCTGGCCCTGATGTATTCCATCCAGCACTCCATCGTGACGGTGCGCTGCTTGAAACCCTGCCCTCCTGCAACCTGTTTTGTCTTGTCACCTTGTTTCCTTGCAAGGTGCCTTTCCTCACGGGAGCGCAGTATGAATACTTCCCCATTGTTGCCACCTTCGTAGCTCGTCACTCAGCCTCAGCTGCCTACGGCCGGCCAAATCTGCACGGTCACGGCCCCAATAGCTTCAGGCAGGCTACACTGTCATCGTGCTGGAGGCCGGCTCGCTTGCCAGTCTTCACTGCTGCTATGGTGCAGTTCTGCACTCCAGGAACAGACCGAGATCAACAAGGCAGTTGCACTGCATTCGCAGTGTCCCATCCATTCCAATCCGTCCAGAGTGCTATCCGTTTCTGCCAATTGAGACCAGGTCTTTTTGGATGTGTTCGAAATGTTGACAGTACTCCAGGAGCATCGAGCATATTGGGAGAAGTCCGGACTTGAGCGTTTGGAACTGGATGCTTTCAGCTTGGCGTTTGCACTCAGCTGTCATGGCCGACTAGGAGCAGAGCAGCCTTCGCAGACATTGTGTTTCCACAACTCAGTAGCAGCGACACATGCAGATGGCGCGCCTGCCACCGTCGCAATTTCATGGCAAAGACAATGCTTTTCATTCGACAGCTTTGCTTCAGTGCCCACGGTGCACGTACAGCTCCTCGAGAGCTCCCGCTCGAGCCAGAGCAACCCCTGTGGACTCCCTTGGCTGTTTGCCCGGGATCAGCGTTGCGCTCGGATTGAATGCTGCGCGAGCAACATGTGAGAGGCGTGCGAGGGCAAGGCCAAGCATGCGAAAGACAGCCAGATATGCCGACGCACGGGCAGAGCATCTGCCGAGATGCGTGGTCTTCGACTTGGATGGCTGTTTGTGGTATCCGGAAATGTATGAGCTGTCATGGCAAGGCGGTGGAGCTCCCTTCAGCCGCGACGATTTGGGAAATATTCGTGACCGTCGAGGGAATGCAATTCGTTTGCACAGTGGGGTGGATGCTGCACTGACTGAACTGGCGACGGATCCAAAGTGGCGTGGGGTGGTTGTTGCTGTTGCTAGCTGTTGTGATGTGCCACCTTGGGCGCACGAACTCCTTGGAAAGTTTGACTTCGGGCCAGACCGAAAAAGACTTGCAAACATCATCGAAGTGCGCCAAATTCACAAGGGCTCCAAGCAAACTCATTTTCGAGAGATTCGCGGAATGGTCGGCTGTGACTTCGACGAGATGATCTTCTTCGACAACGAGAAATACAATTGCGATGAAGTAAGTCGATTGGGCTCTGTGCTCGGTTGGAGCAGTCTCTTTCAGTGGCATAGTTTTTGGCTACGGTATTCATTCTGCCGTTGCTCTTCAGGTGTGACATGCATTTACTGTCCTGACGGCGTCACGCCTACCTCTTGGGTGAAGGGAATAAAGGCCCATGTGTGTGAACAGTGCTGCAGAGTTGCTGCCTAATCATACCATAGTTTTTTAATCCTTGATGGCTCAGGCTTTTCCAGCGCTGGGTGAAGTCCGCTGCTGCGAATAAGCTGAAGCAGACCTGGGATAGCTCTGTCATCACAACCAAAATGCAAGCAGCGCGCTTGTTGCTTTGTTTTCGGCTTCGGGGGTTAGCCCTGAAGTCTCGGTTCTGGTTGACAACGTCGCATAGCATGCTGCACTGCACGCACAATGTCACAAGACATGCTTCGCCTGGTTCGCGGAGAATGGTCATGGATCTCTAAGCTCTGCATCGTGCTGTTCAGCTGCCACACAGGCAGCCACCGCGCTCATCTTAGGTGTTCTGGCGTTGCTCTCAGTGTTCTGTCCACGGCTCTCCTCTGCGGTAGAGTTGATTTCAAGGGTCCAAAGCACCGTCGCACCCCAAACTTCCAAACACTTCAAAATCCTCCCCAAAACTTCCGAAAACATACCGAACCTTCGACAAACTTCTGTAACCTTGCCAAGTCCAGCAGAGTCCTGCGTTCCGGACACTTTGTTTTCAAAAGCTTTTGATCGTTTCTGAGGGGGTTTCTGGGAGTTTTGTGCGGTCTTGCGCAGTTTAGGGGGGCAGTTGGGGGCAGGTTGGGTAGTCCACGTGTGTGTGTGTGTGTGTGTGTGTTTGTGGCATTTATCGATTTTTTGTGTACTAGAACGTGACTTCGTTGTACAGCTTTTGGATTTGAGGCTTATCAGGCTAGTGAAGGGCTGAAACTCGCTCCTTACCCTGCGCGGTGTTGTCTTGCCAGGTCACCTTTCCGAACCTTTCCAACATTGCGAAAGCATTCAAGAGGCTTCAAAAGACTACCCATCCAGACAAGTACCTCCCTGATTCGCATGAATGAGCAGCAACTGTGATGCACTGGGGTGCTTTCCTTTGAGGTGTGGGCCTTGGTGGGTACTGGGGTGGACATGACATCGTCCGCTTTCGACGTCGCCATCAAGTCAGGGCCTTGTGAGTTCAATGCCATCCTGATTTCTATCCTGGCGTAGACGTTATGTGTCTGCTTTCCGATGCCTTCTGCAGTAACCAGACCAAGCTGTAAAAGGCTGCGCGATAATTCGGAGGAGAGGCTTCAAGTCCTATCAAAGTCGACCAGACAAGTGAAAGGATTTATCCAATGCACCGGTGCGGCATGCACAATGGAAGCTGCCTGCGGCCCTGAAACTCCCAACGATGCAAAATGCCGACCGCTTCCAGGGAGACGTTGGAAGACGTCTCCGAGGCGCAGGGCGCAGGGCGGCGGGCAGCTTCGACTTTTTTGGTCGCGTGTCCCGTGGCAGGTTGTCTTCTTTCTCCTGGGTGCCTTGACCATTGTGGAGATCATGGACGCACATAAAGGCAGTGGTCTCGGAAGATTTTGCGGGAGCAGACCTCGGCTTTCACCTCGGGGAGCTAGCATGACGTGATGGCTTTGTTGTCGGACGCGGACCGCGAATCTTCGCCAGGGTTCGACATTATCACAAAGCTCATCCAAGCAAAAACTCAGCGCGAGCTGCTGGTCCGTAGCTCGTGAGCTGCTTGAGTTTGCGTTGCAGCAACCGAAGTTCAACGAAGGTCATCGTATCAGTTCTGACTTTCGTGCTGTCGTCAGTGCTCAACAACCTCACTGTGGTCATCGTCATGGTGCGCCTGAGCTTGTTGAGTTTGCAACTCAGCGTGGTGATGCGTGGTGATCTGATTGAATCGGCAGGTGTCTCTCCTGCAGAAGCTGGTGAAGGCTTTGTGCGGCAATCTGATCGAGCGTATGAGCTCTGTGAATCTGGCCAGGACGAGGATTTTCGAATGAGGCTTGGTGGAATCGTGGTGGTGGCATCGAATGCTGGTGGAGCCTGGACTGTTGGGTTTAGCCCCTTGCACATCATGCTGCTCGAGGGGATGAGTAAGCCGGAATGGATGTTGTGAGGACGCCCATTGGTGACATCACGACTACGATGCTCTACATTGGTGGCCAGGCCTGTTGCATGCGAGCAGATGGAAGATATCAGTCTTCTGTGAGTTCTGATAGTTCAGACACTGCTGCTATTTCTCTTCGACCAGCTTCTCTGAAGGTTGGGCAGTTGATTGCATGTGTGTGCCAAGGTGACCACCGTACCACTGCTGGCAAATCTGTTTATCCCAAGCGTTCTTTGCTTGATTGGCACAGTGGGTGCGCCGGCCTATACTTCTTACGGCCCAGCATTCACCGCACAGATCAGCGCTGAGGTTTTGAGTTAACCAGGATGGACGACAAGCCGTTCGAGCGAACACCATCCAGTCCTGGGGCGGGAGTGAGCTTCATCCTAGGGGTAGCGCTGCGCTCTGGTTCCTGCGCAGGATGACGAGGTGCCCAACGGTCAGGCAGGTTGTTGTGCAGTGCCCAGGTTTGCTGACCCATCCATTTTAGAGTTCACCAGGCAGTGGTGTTCTGGGGGGGCCTGATCGGCATGATCACAGTTCCGGCATTCACCGTCGAGAGCCCAAAGACGTCTAACTTGCACGCAGCGTGCAGCTAGTTGCTTACAGTCCGTGCCCGTCGTTGTCCTTGTGTTCACAGGCCATCACCCAATGCCCAGCTTGGAGTGGGCTGGGAGCCTCAGCTTGCTCGGTGATAACGGGAAAGCTCAACTCTTGAGTTCTGAGAGGATGATGCTCGTCTTGGGCCTTCTGGGCTTGATCACATCCCTGTGACAAGCTGAGGGACTTGCTTTGTGTGCATACAAGCCACTGCGTTCGAGCTTTCCGTGGATGGACTCATCGGATGCCAGAGGTTGCACGAGCCAGACGACAATCGCTACTCGCTGAAGGGCGCTCTCACTCGTGTTGAGGTGCTCCCACAATCACTCGCTTGAACCATCTTGAACCTACCTGGTACCAAAGCTTATGAAGGCTTGGATTCCCACGTTGCTAAGATTCCCACGTTGCTAAGCAGCGTCGTTGGGTCGTCTGCAAAATTCTTACGGTATCTTACTGTCTCCTGGCTTCCTGTTACGCTCCGTCGCTTGCTTTGAAATTGCTTCCGTATTTGGTTTGTTTAGTGTGCTCATTCATTTTTGGAGAGCTCAGATCTTTCTAAACTCCACGTGGTAGTGCAAAGGTCGTTTCTTTTGTTACGACTTATGACGGCTAGGAGTCCGTTCGAGGTTTAGTCCGGTCAACCAAGGATCTGCTTCCATGTCCGAAAACGTAGTGTCTTCGCCTCACTGATGAGCGTAAGTATGTTCTTGTGCAAGAGCCACAGCTGTGCCCTGCTCCTTGCAGCGTGCTGAATCTTCGCTCCAAGAATCTCAAAACCTTGACAAATCGACCGCCCGGGATCTTTCGCATCTCTCAGCCTTTCGGACATAAACCGATAAATCACATGTAATCACAGCAGCAGTGTGGCGAGGTGCCTGACGCTTTGTTCTTTTTGGGTGTTCTCTTCGCCGTCGGTGGCCTTGAACGAGTCGGGCTCTTGAAGGAGAAGCCATGCCGTGAAGTGTCTGCACCATCTTGGGAGTGGACCGATAGGCGCAAAAGGTACTAGTATGTACTAGTGTCCTCGGCGCTAGGCCTAGGCCATGCCCGACGCCAGGAGTTTGCCATCCAGCTGAGTAATCTGGTGCCCTCTGACGCTTTGGCCGAGACCTGAGGGAAAGTAGGTCAGGCTGTGAGGCGTAGCGCGCCTCACCGTTGGGTCGATTTTGCTTTTCTCTCGCAGGGGTCCTGCATCATCTGCATCTCTCCCTATTTATGGAATGCTGAAGGACTCGGTGTCAGCACTAAGCCACTACGCACACGCGCTCCATCATGCTCGCAAGCTGCCAACCATGGGAAAACTCGCACTAGTCCGAAGGAGGCTGAGATGGGAGGGATGCACCCGAAACGCAGGGAAAAGGTGAGCGACCTGAGTTGCGTGAAGTTGGCAGGCATGTCTTGAAGCGGCCTCTTGGCATTGGGTCATTTCTTTGGTGTGAACGACTCGACGACAGAAGATGGAGCTTCAGCAGACATGAGAAGTCTGGCGCTGCCGTCCTGGAGTTCGCTCTGGTGCTGTGGGTGCATTGTTTTGGGGGGTGCTGGGCCCGTGCGTCAAGCGCAACGGCGACACGACATGAAGAAGCAAACATAGCATGCAGTCCGATGAGTCTCCAAAGTCGTGCTCCTGCTCTCCTGCTCTGCTGCTCTCCTGCTCTGCTGCTTTGATTCGTGCCTTCTTGAGGTCGCCATTTTCCTGGGCTTTGCTTCTGCTGTGGTGGACAATGTGCCGCTGGTCGCGGCTGCGCAGGCATCCCTGCAGTTCACCGGTTCACCGTCCTCGTGATTTCAGCTCGTCCTACTTGTCCTCCCAGGGCATGTACGACATTTCGGTGCACCCTGCAAATGACGGCCTGTGGAACCTGATCACGTGAGCTCGAGTTAGCGAATGCTTAGCCGAGGCTTACCCGGTTTGTGCTTTCCTGGCATGTTTGTTTCTTTTCAACAGGTACTGTGCAGCCACTGGTGGTTCGCTGTTGGTCATTGGCTCTGCCGCCGGCGGGGAAGAAGGGTGTTCACTGTGCATTACCTGGCCTCCCGTGTCAGCGCAGGTGTTGCCTTCATGGGCATGGAGAGAAATGTCTCCTTTGGATGGTGCCACAGCTGTGCTCACAAGTTCTGTTGCTTTGATATCCCTAGTGAGGTACGTCAAAAGTGTGGCTCCTGCAGCACTTGTGGGCTACTTCCTGGGTGTTGGTGGAGTGTTGGCCCAGCAGGTGGGGCAGCAGCAAAATTGCCCTTCTGACAGCTGTGCCTTTCGCTGGGTGCAGGCTCTTGGACTGAGTGTAGCGTAGCATCGCTGCGAAGCCGTCAGACCTCCGTGTGATTTGATCAGGAGCTCTGAATTTCCGTTAATGCTTTGCAAGCTAATTCAAGCAGGCGCTTGCTTGCATTGGGTGTTGTGCAAAACAGGACATCGTTGACTCATGTTGTGTCCACGTGCTTTCTTAGGACATGAATCAGGTGGGGTTTGTACATGTTTCGCAAATACCAACATTGCAAATCAGCGATGTTAGTAGCTGTTGTTTGGAAATATCAAGCACCCAAATCGGTTTGTTTGCCTCACCTAGAGTTGTCGGATGTTGAGATCCTGAGAGCAGTCGGCACAAAAAATGCATTCACCAAAGTGTCACCAACATGCCGATGCCAGCGTCACGTCGCTTGACCATTGGTCATGGTTGTCGGTTCGTCGAGCCATAGAGGGGAGACCGAATCTATGCAAGATGCTCTCGACATCAATGAGCAGGCTGGCAACGAGCCGTACATTCTGAGACTTAGAACTTCGCCCGCTTCGCGCCGGCATTGCAGAACGCCATGGCAGAGGTGGACAATTTCCCAGGCAAGAGCAGCACAGATGCAAAAGCGATTACGCTGCAGTGCCGTTCCGTTCGGAGTAGATGCGGACAGGTTGTGCTGCGGTTCATGAAAGTGGAAAACCTCAGGCTGCGTGCTGCATGGTTGAAACTCGAATACGCCGTTGTGGTTTCAGCAGGGGATGTATGCAGCGATGATCTTTTGTTTGAGGCAGTCCGCGTGCCAGTTCGTTGGATGCTGACGGCGGCGCTGGCTTGCGAGGTGCCTGTGTGTCTGCGGATGCCGGCAGATGAATATGTGTCATGGCAATTCGATCTTTACCAGTCGTGTTAATTTTAATGCTACGCAGCCCGCCTCGGCTGGCGGCTGCAGTATGCTTGTCGGAAATGCTCATTTACGCTGCTATTAGCAGTGACGCCGCGAAGACAAGGAAAAGGAACAGCATACCAGCAGCAAGTCAGAAACAGCTGGAGCAACAAGACAGGAAAACGACGGAACTTCGACGAGGAAGCAAGGAAACCAAAGGGCAAAAACACTCAAAAAACAAGCACGCGAACGAAGCACAGGCAGTAAGGACTGAAGGGTCGAAGAACGCGAGGAGCAAAAATGAGAACAGAGCAGGAGAGAGAAAAGAGAACCCGAGGAAAGAACAACGGAAGCAGCAGTCGACCGAAAGCAGCTGGCAGATCGAATAAGCGGAAAGACGGAAAAGTAGCGGAGGAAGGTGGACAGGTGGTAAATGATGGACCAAGAAAAGAAAGAACCGCGGCCGAAGGAAGGGGAACAAGAACGAGGAGGAAGCTTGGGGCCGGAAAGCTGCGAAAAGGTGGAAGAAAAGAACAAGGCAGGACGTCGAGGAAGAAGAAGACACACTTGAAAGAAGACAGGACAAGATAGAACAAGAAACAAGTCCATAGAAGCAAACCGGGAAGTCAAGAGAAGTAAACCGGAAAGCAAGCAACGGAAAAAACACGCGAGCGAAAGATAGGAAGCAAGGGCGAGGATGGGAAGCAGCGGGAAAAAAAGAAGTAACAAAAGGTAAAAAAGGTAAAAAATAAGCAGGAAGTGGCTTGGAAGGGTAGACACGGCAGAAGGAAGGGGAACAAGAACGAGGAGGAAGCTTGGGGCCGGAAAGCTGCGAAAAGGTGGAAGAAAAGAAAAAGGCAGGTCGTGGAGGAAGAAGAAGGAACGCTTGAAAGAAGACAGGACAGGATAGAACAATAAACAAGTCAAGAGAAGCAAACCGGGAAGTCAAGACAAGCAAACCGAAAAGTAAGCAACGGAAAACAACACGCGAGCGAAAGATAGGAAGCAAGGGTGAGGATGGAAAGCACCGGGAAAATAGAAGTAACAAAAGACAAAGAAGGAGCGGGAAGTGGCTTGGAAGGGTAGAGGCGGCCAACGGGGAAGGCCGGCGATGAAAAGGGAGCGGGGGGGAGGGGGGGGGAGGGAAGGCACAAATCAGCAACAATTGAGGGGAAGTACAGGGGGAAACGTGGGAAATCGGGAACATCACGCGTGACAAGACGGAAGCCGGGCAAGGGGGTCGAAAACAGGCGCTAAAAACGGGTGGAAGTTTGCGTTGGAGCCACAGGAAAAAGGATTAGGTAGAGGGTTGATTAGTATTAACCATCAAGACGCCAGAGGCCTTTGGCCTCGGCGGATGCTTACGTGCCGAGTGCAGGTGGATGCAACGACCGGCACAAGCATTGCCGAAATACGGGCGCAGGCGATGCAATGGGCCTGCCGTTCCTCCCCAGTTTGTGACGTGGTCAGGTGTGTGAGAGCACAGGAGTTCCAATCGAGCAGCAGAGGCTCTTTCATGAAGGATCGGTGCTTTCTGTAGCGATGCAGGAAAGCCCATGGTCATGCATCGATGTGCAGGCCAAGAGCTGTCGCAGCAAATCGATCTGTCCAAGATGGGCCAGCAGCCTGAATTGATTCTGCATCTTGAGCCAAGCTTAGCTGTCGCAAGCTCTACAGGTGTTTCCTCCATCGGAATCCAGTTCAAATCTTGGCTTCGTCCAGACTGTGCAGCACTGAAAGGTGAAGACTTCTAGGGGCTTCTGCCTGCTCTGGAGGTTGGTTCGCTGCCTGAGCGATCCTCGCAATACCAACAGGGCACACTTCAGGGAGAATCTCGAGCTGGATGAGGGCCTTGCTAGCGCCTCAAGCTGTTCCAAAAACAGTCTCCTCGGTCCCTACTGTGATTCTGAGGTGGGCGACTTCCTTTGGGTCAAAAGGATCGGAGATGCCATATATGGTGAGGCCGCCACTTTCAATGATCTCGAATCTTGAAGTAGTGTCCGTCTGCACATCAGTTGCAGGTTGGGCAGTACAAGTGGAAAAATGGATGCCACTTTCAGGATGTTGCCGTCAAGTGCAGAAGCATTGACAAGGCTGCAAACGTATGTGGTACATTATGAACGCCCCGCTCTCTCTGTGCTTCTCACCTGGATCAGGCACGGCAAGCGCTTGGTAAGGACATATGCATCGCCACTGTCCTGTCCTGATGTGCAGCTGCCGGATCATTGTGCAGCTGTCAGGAGAATGAGTGGACTGCTCACCTGTCCGGCCAAGATGTACCCAACGCAGAGGACTGGAGTGTAGAGGTGGTGATCTCGCGGAAATAAGCCCGTTCAGGACGCATTTGCGGAGATTGGGATTCTCCAGTACTTGCGCAGTCCTGAGATGCACGAATTGCACGTCAAAGCCAATGCACAGGAGACGACTAGAAACAGCCAACTGCGAAGTCGAGAGCGACAGCCGGGAGACCGGTTCAGATGAAGCCTTCCACCGACCGCAATGAGGTCAAAGCAACCGGATCTTCCTGCTTATCTGCCTTGGCCTAGGAAGACACGGGTCTGGAAGTCCACGATGCTTGAGTCTAGCATGGAAACCACGAAGTCATCAGTACATGCCGGAACTCGGAATCCAGGTTGAAATCGATGGCAGCGTTCACACACAACTCCAACATGCTCGAAGCTCGGGGGCAGTGAGCAGAGTAATTGAGAGGAACCTGTGGTCATGTTGGCTGGCAGATGGCTCGTGACGGAGCTGGCGGAGGGTGGCGAGCTGCTGGCTGCAAGCTCGGATCGTGTGACGGCACCGCAAACTATCCGAAACTGCTTGAGCTTTCAGGATGCGGTGCTCAATGGACGTGTTGACGAACGACAACGAAGGTGTTCCAAGACTTCCTGCGCAGCATGCTTGCCTCCAACAGCACACAGGCAATATACCTGGCAAATGATGCAAGCCGTCGGATTCCCAGACGGAGCACTTGCTGCCCAATGGCATGTTGCTTTGTCTTTTGCTCTGCAGGTGAAGTACCTGCATGCCCACCATATAGGCTTGCACAGAGGCATCAAGGAAGCGCCTTGTAGACCCGAGTCCGCACTCCAGGCCACCGCGATATTTCCTTGGCGCGCCCCCCGTGCGGAGACTCCTTTCAAGCGACATGCTGTGTGTTGTGTCCTTTTCCGAGGAAAATGTCTTGCTGAAAGGCGAAAGCATCAGGCCTTGGACTCGTTTTTCCATTCACAGAGTTTTTCATGTGGCAAAGTGGGTACCAAGTCTTGTGAGTCTCTTGTGCAGAACTGAAAGCACCATTTTGCCCTTCCGATTCTCCGACCGAAGATTTTTCCCAATTAAGCTCGGTACAACATCCCTGCTTTTATCATCTACATGACGATCTTCGTCATCGATGCTGTTTCACATCTGAATGGTCTTGCACTACTCGCATAGAATCGTGGGAACTTGGCCAACGTTGTCGATGATGACCATGCATCGCTACCTCGTGCGTCCGACCCTCATTTGGAAGATTCTCAACCGAGAGTGCGTCCAACGACGCTGGTTCTGGAACATCGACCAAGTTTGCGCGAAGTTTTCAATGCTTGTTTTTGAGACTCACCCTTCTGCTCCGTGACATCTCCATCACTAGGTAATACGCTGGCGACACCGTCTTTTGCCTTTGTTGGAGGCTCTGGATTGGGCCTTCTCTAGAGGGGTTTGGGCTTCGCTTGCTCAGCCACTTTCTTGGAGTTCTTCACAAGTCTGACATTCTCCATCCATTCGAACTTCGAGGAGACATGTTGCACACTCGGACAATCTCTCGTTCACCAACTGCAAGCAAAGACTTTCGTGGTGCAAAGAGCCCGTTTAATTGTGACAATGTCTCTTCATGGATTGCGACCGAAACGCTCGCTGCTGCAGCTTTTCTGGGTCAAGGTAGATGTTTGAGAGACCGGGCTTTTGGCCTTTCTTTCTAGGTTGGCTAGGCTGCAGCGGCGGGAGCCATACCTCTGACTGGATCCTACTTTGCGTTCTGGCTTGGTTTTTGGGATTGTGCACCGGTTGCTTCGCAACTCTGCTCATAACCTCGGCAACTGCCAGGAACATCGTGTGGGGCTGCTTGGGGGCTTTCGTTCGTGAACTGCATCCTGGGCCTCCTCCACTTCAGGGGGACCGTCTAGCGAGGTAT